CGCGACCCGCGGCCGCGCGTGGGAGTGCTGGGGGGCGGGGTCCTTGGGAAGGGAAGGGAAAGGAGAGCGCGCACTTCCTCTCCCCCACTCCTTCCCACTCCCCTCCCCCGCTCCCAGACGATTGCCAGACGTGGAAGAATGGGGGATGTGATATCTCCCGAACCCTCGGGTGCCCGCTCCCTCCCACACACCAGGGATTTCCCCTCCGCCATTAGCGGAGCCAAAAGGAAAGGTGGAGCTGCTGGGGTCCAGCCGTCACTCCTGGCCTCCGGAAGCCTGCGGGTGAACAGCTTTGAGCCTAGCTTTTTGCCAAAACGCCACCTTCAGGGCACGTTGTAGGGTTAACGACCTTGATAAACTGGTGAGGCACCTGGTCCCCAGGTTTTCCACCCACACAGCCCCAAGGCCTTCCCACACCTGGGTCCTGCAGCCCAGTCTCCCCAGTTAGAAATGTAGGTAGTTTTAGACAGTTCTGTTTCCTCAAAAGAAAAAAAAGTACTAGAATGTCAGCCACCAACCACCCTCACCTGGGGATCATGGCCCTGTCTGTGCCTTCTCTCCTCTCTGACCCAAGGAGGGTGGGCTGGGGCAAGAGGCAGGGTGGTGACAGGATGCAGGCCGGGATGGTGGGCCTGGGGAAGTGGTCCCTAGTGTTTGACAGCAGGGATCAGAAGACCTCCCAGGGAGGGGGTACAGAGGACCAGGGCACACTGTACCCTGCTGGAGCCCAGAGCATGTGCCCAGATGCCCCAAAGAGGCCCTGACAGGAGCACTCAGGAGCCCTGGACCCAGAGCACAGCCAAGGCGCCTCAGGAGCACCCGCTGGGTGGCCTCCATGGGAGAGAAATGGGGGCCACAGAGGAGTTTTCATAGCTTTGTATTTTAGAAGGCTGCTCTGGCTCAGGGAAAGATGTTTGGAGGAGTCAGGACTGGAGACAGGTTATCACAGCTGTCCCCACAAACAGGAATGGTGACCTCACCAGGGACAGTGAGAGAGGACAGGCCCACCTGCAGGCTGTGGCCTCTGTGGGGTGTGGGGGAGCCCCCGGTGGCAAGGGACATGTCTTTATGCAGAATCAAATGAGAGCTGTCAGGGATGAGGTGGGGTCTCTGTCCAGAACAAAGGGCACAGGACATCCTGGGAGGCCAGCAGGAGGGGTTGGCTAGGCTAAAGGGTGCCAGGACTCTCAAAAGTCTGGAAGTTTTCCCCCTGGCAGCTCAGCTGCCCAGCAGGTGGGAGGAGCCTCCCAGTTTGGTTTCAGAATGAGTTAGTTCCCCAGAGGGTTGTCCTGCAGCTCACCCACTGCCATTGGGCATCTTAGATCTTCTCTTTCTCCCCCAATTAAATGCAGCTCTTGCTATAAATACTCTGAAAGTGTTTCTTTCTGATTTCAATTTCTTGGAATCTGTCCCTGCATGCCTAGGGAACCAAGGAGTCGAAGGCTGTGGCCTTGGGAGTGTCTTCCACTACCCTTTATCACACTCTCATCAGTGTTTTGGGGGGTTGTTAATACAGGAGCTGGCTGGTTGGGGGGGATGCTGGCCCCCCCCCCCCGGACTTGCTGTTCTGGGCAGGGAGGTGGGTGAAACCTGCTGCAGGGGCCTCGCCTGTGGGCTGGCTGTCAGTGGATGTGTCCACTTTCCTGCGATGGGTGTAGTCCCCTCCTGCCCACGAGAAGCAGCCTTCACCTTCTGGGAGGAGTGGGACTCACCTGCCTTTCTGGTTCCTTTCCAGTGCCGGCCTGCTCCTACTGCTGCTCAGCGGCCTGCAAGCTGGTGAGTCCCAGAGCCCTCGTGGTCCGGAGGCCAGTTCCAGGCCCCCCAGTGTGGAGAGTGGGACCAGGAGGTGCAGGTGTCAGCAGGGGCCCTGACACGGCCCTTCATGTTTTTCCAGGGACCCCTGTGAGAAAGCTGGGCTCCAAGGCCGGGTAATGTGTGGGGTCCAAGGCCACAAAGGGGACGCTTGTCCAGACACAGTAGTTCTTGTTTTATCATGGGATAGGTGTAGGTGGAGCACACTTCCTCCCTTGTGTGTCAGTCCCCTGCTTTCCAGATGAGCTGGGAGCTTCCTTATTTCCTTCACCCCAGTCAGGTTCCAGAAGAGCAAGGAACAGGGATGCAGGCTGCAGCGGAGACCGAAGCCCTGCTGAGCCTTTCAGCTCAGAGGGTGCAGGGCAGGGCACCCAGCCACTTTTCCTGCAGGCGTCCAAGTGTCTAAACTGATGGTAAAGCCAGTCTGGACATACCACATGGGCCTTTCTTGGCACAGGACGAGCAGCATTATAAAGCTGTTGTTGAGAAACTGATGTTTTCTTTCAAATGTCTACATTTTTACAAAACCTTTCCCATTTGAATTCATTATAAACTCCCAACAGAATCCCGCTTGGTCCCGGTGCCCACCCCAGCTTCTCCCAGCGCTGGCCTCTTACAGAGTGACAGGAAATCAACATTAGACAGCACATCACAGGAGCAGACCGCAAATTCTGAACTTTCAAACCGTTGCATTCCTACGTGTATCTTATGGATACATCCCTTGTCTCCTGAAATGAGTCAGAATTAGTGTTTGAGACGTGTGTGTGTCCGTCCCCCC